TTTTCAAAAAGACCAAAGTAAATCTTTGAAGATAACGAAAACAACGTAACAATATTAATTCTTTATGACAACTATATTTCCGTATGAGTTTATATATATATATATATTTTTTAGATAATTTAATTATTTAATATTATTTGAACTGTACAGTAACTTATAATTTAACAGGCAACATTCAGAATATCTTGAACTGTCCAAATTAATTTATAATATTTGTGGAATGAGGAATGTTGATATATTTGAAATAAACTTTTTTGGTCACGTTTTTCAAAACCCCCCTTTTTTGAAAATAAATTTTAAAAATTTATTTCAAAACCTAACATCTATAAAATGAAGTGAAGTTGTACAGAGAACTTCGAGAGTATAAACAGTGTCCTTATAACACGGGATACTAGGAATTGTTTATGAAAGAAAGAGTTCGAAGGCAAACCAAATCCTGCTTTCGAGGCTGTGCTATGAGTGATGAGGGAATGAATTGTATTGAAGCTTGTATTATTGATTATTAAGAATTAATTCTGAAAGCCACCCAGAAGTAACCTTTTAGCTGTTTGCATAATTACAAGAAACGAAATCAAATAATCTTTGTATATAAAATTTTTGTTTGATAATCTACCATTTTATCATTATCGAATGAATAATTCATATAAATCCTATTAAAACAAAAAAAAATAGATAATATAAAATATTTAATTAAATTTGAGCAGTTAAAATAAATGTTTGAGTATTAATTATGAAAAGGAAAAGGGAAAATAAATGTTATATCAAAAAAATTTAGAAGTTCGATTGAATATTGAATCAATTAATGAAAATTTCAAAACCTTATCCAAACACAGATGTTCGTCATACTTTGTAATATTTGTTCAATTTATCAAATATTTTTTACCAAGAAAAAATTTCGCTACTTTGATGTTTATATATATATATTTTTTTTCATGTTTACTGAAATTTAACGAGACAATGCTTATTAGCCGACTTTCAAAAATCAAAAAGTTGCACCTTTCAATTTCGACGATTTTCATAGAGTTAGACCAGTTAGTCTTAGGAAAGGGAAAAGCGTCTCTATGATGAGTATATTTTCATTTACTTTATTATTTATATTATTTTGTGATTGTGAGTTGTGAGTTATATTTTTTTTATTAATGTATTTATTTGTATTATGATAATAAACAATTTATTATGATGCATTTTGTGTAATTAGTCATCACTATCAAATCCTTATATGAGATTAAAATTACGTTACGGATTACTATGTTCGTAACTCGATTTTGATAGTGTAAAAGATAAAATATATTAATGCGATACAACTAAACCTTTAAACTTCGATTTGCGAGTAACCATTGGTGTGTTATATTTTGCACTCCATCTTTTGTCGTTCACAAATTTAAAGCTTCACTTTGACCGCAGCGAGAATTAATAATTATAGGATATGTGACATGAACTTTAGAAAAATGGATTTTCTTACTGCTCAAATCAGACAACAGGTAATGAAATTCTAGTGGTTCACTGTAAGTTGCTTTGTAGCTAGATATCAGAAGTAAAGTTTGGTAGAAGTGATCGACCTTCAAAATTAAGAATACTAGCCACATATTTTTAGCGCTGAACCTCCTTCGTAAATATCTAGATTCGTGGCTTTAGATATATCAGTATCAAACTTACGGAACTTGACATACTTCATAAATAACCTACAAATTATTACGAAATTTGGACGAGAATTTGAACTTTTGATCTGGTAAACTTTGTTTTTTCCATTTGCTGAAATATTAATTTCGAATACTAATATAAATATGCTTTTGTGACAGTAATCCCCTGAATCATAAAATGGCACTAAATGGACGGCATTACCTGTGAATAAACCGGTTAATTAGAGGTTATGATCTTTTTAACCGATTAAGATTAGGGATGTGAAGCAGTACTTAAGCAGTCTTTATGATTTAAGAGATTACTAACTCTAGAGAAGACTAATCACTTATCTATAATAAGTAACCCCATCAAAAATATGCCATAAAAATTTTATAAAAAGTGCAAAATTGGCAATTTTTATGGGACTGCTAAGTATAGAACTGATCTATGGGACCCGGTCCTAAATCCTAAAATTTTAAAATTTAAGAAATTCTGGGATTCCAAGAGGGATTATTATATAATTTCATTTAGTTGCTTATTAAAACATAATAATAGACAAGTTTCATAATAAATTTGTTCTTTGTAATTTTCTTGGAACTTTTAGAACTGCTTAGGACTGCTGAACGTCCTAGTTAAAATGAATTTAACTCCGGCCAATATTCAATTTTTGATTATTAACTGGTTAAAGAATTTTTAGCCAGTTCCAACTTCTACCTGTAAATTGTACGTAATTCAACTAATTTGACGTAATTCTGACAAAGTCTGGTATTTGATCATCAGACGCGTGAATTATTAAATTAAAAATATAATTTATAGTATACTCTTGACCAATGTAATCTCGAATACTCGATACAAGTCATAAAAAGTAAAAACTAATACCAAAAAAATAGTTTTTTTTTCTTTTAAATTATTTTTTATATTTTTACTGAGGGAGTATGATTATCATAAAAATTTATTATTAGGAACGATTAGAATATCACTTGAAAATTGTTGAAATAAAGCAGTGAATCTTTGAATTTAACAATTGAATTGGAGATGAGACTATTCTATAAGCTGGATGCAAATGGTTATGTAAAATGACCAAAATAAAATTATATATAGACTTGCGACGTCACCTTTAAAACAAGAACAAAGAAAAAATTATTCAATCAAATATGAGATCGTAATTATTAATTTTTAGGGAATTGATGCTACTGGTTCTATTCATTCCGTACATACAGTATTATCAAATAATATTTAGTTAAATTTGTGCAGCTGTCAATAAAAATATTTATAAATAATATACCCATTTCCTCACAAATACAAAATGAAAGACTTAATGCATTAATATTGACAGATAAAAATACAAATTGCAATGATCAATTTATCAAATTTTACGAATATGCAGCTGAATTCTCTAGATCGAAATTTTCAGAATAGAATAGTCTCGGCATTATTTTTACCACTATTTTCAATTCATTGCATTGATTCAGATTCATACCTAGTTCTCTAAATATACTTTCATTTTATATTTAAACACCATTATATTAGACGTATAAACTTATTTATAATTTAATTTGGTTATAATTCATTTTTAAATCACTTTATCCAAATGATGAAGTTAGAGATAAGTTATTGATAACTTTGATAATTTAAAATAGTTTTCTTAACGCATAACTTCTTAGTAGTGTATTTTTTTTTTTAAAAAAAAGGAACAACTATGAGTTTCTTGTTATGTCACCAAGGTATGTGGCGTTAGAAGTCAACTGTAAGATGAGTGTAAATAAATTTTCCCAACTAATTGTACTAAAATTTTCACCTTAGGAACAAAGTAATTTTTAATGACGAACCTATTTAGTTAATTGTTAATGAAGGAAGAAATTGCAGAGGTGAAAACTCGAAATCTTATAACAAATAATTGCGTTATTTATTATTTAAAATTTTGCGTCACTTATTTCTCAATTTATAAATATAATATTCTCATTTTCTTCTAGTTGAAGTATTACTCGATTTATCTCTATATTAGAAGTAACTTGATTCAATGGACTTGAATTCAGTTCGAATGGCATGCCAACAGCAGAACAAATTGTTTATTTTCGATTTAAATGCTAAGTATGATCCATTATTATTATTAACAAAAATCTTTCATGTTAGGAATGATTTCGTAATAATCGACATTGAATTTTTCCCGAAACGACGCAAATGTTAACTAAAGCTTTCATTAAATTAAATGTCAATCTAAACTTTTTTGTGACATTCCCGTTCAAATCTTAGATACCTATTCAAAAATCTAATCGGACAATCAATTCAGGTAACTTCCTAAACATAAAATTTACGAACTAACTAAAATTTTTGGCCCTTCGTCACAAATCTGAATCATTTATTATTGCAGCTCGAAGATATCAAAGGCGAAAAATAACCAATCAAAATTCTTGGACTTTAAAGAAGAATCTAGAAATGGCTAACATCTTGATTAACAGCTTATTATTTTTTTTTCTAAGCTAAAAGTAATAATGATTAATCTTTTTATTCTTGATCTAAACAACTTTTAATAAACTTTTCATTAAATCATGTGACATTAATTATGATTCATAATTACATCATCTTATAGCAAAAGTGTGTGGTGTAACAATTTGTAAAAGTGGAAATGTTTATCCTTTTTTCTTTCTTATAAACTAAAGTTATAATCTTACTGCGAAATTCTTTAAATGGCTTTCAAGTTTTTCTAGATTATCTCAAAATTTTTCCCACTTGCTTGATGGTACAAACGACGATATGATGTGTTTCTTAGAGTTAGAGCAAGTTCAAATATTAAAGATTATCGTTTACATTCTGTTATCTTGAAGTCTCGATCACCTTATTTTAAAATTGCTCTCTCGCAGAACTGGATCTCAAAGCAAGATAATAATATTATTTACTTTAATAAACCAAACATTACTCCTTCCATTTTTGATATAATTGTCAGGTAAAATTCCTATATTTTCTAATTAGAAAGTCTACGAGACAGTATCATTATTTCATGCTTAAATTTTTTTTCTTAAAAGGTATATGTATGCAGGAATACTTGATTTAAATGAACAAGCTGGCTCTGATATTCTTGATCTTATTATAGCATCTGATGAATTACTTCTGGATGAATTGGTTACTTTTATATAAGAGTATTTGATTGACAATCAAACTGGGTGGTTACAACAAAATTTTGTTTAGGTCTTTCGCGTAGTTTATAAAATAGAAAGATATGTACAACTACATAACTATTATTTAGAAACTATTTGCAAAGATCCTGAATATTTTTTCAATTCACCAGATTTCCTAAAATTGGAAAAAGATATTCTACTTGAATTTGTTAAAAGAGAAGAATTTAAAATTGATGAAGTTGAATTATGGAATTTTCTTACTAAATGGGGGATAGCCAATCTTTGGAATTAAGAGAAATGGATGCAATTAATCTAAGTATCTGGAGTGAAAAAGATTTTTTGGCTTTAAAAGATACCTTGAATCAATTTATTGATTCTACGAAATTTTCACAAAAGAATTTCATAGTTATATTTGGCCTTTTAGGAAAGTATTGCCTGAAGTAATTTTCAAAGATATTGTGTCATTTTATATAGCTCATACTAAACCTAAACAAGAATTGGTTTCTCGTCATGAAAAGATTGTCGTTAATTCAATGATCATTAAGCCAAAACACCATTCTTGCTAACTGAGTTCAAAGGAAAGATTCTCTTGCAAAAATTTCAAAGGATCACAAATATAATATCAATCTTATTTATCGTAAAAGTAGAGATGGTCATAATATCAATACTATTCATAGTAATTGTGATGAACAGGGCGCTTGTATTTTGATTATTAAAGTTAAAGAGAATGACACTATTATTGGTGGTTATAATCCTTGTGGTTGGGGCAACCATCATAGAACGTATTATAATCCTCCTCATTATAACAGTTATGGCAATTTTTATTACTGGGCTTATACTTCCAGAAGTTTTATTTATTATTTAGGTAATAGAAAGGATTCAAAAAATTTTAATATTAGTCGAGTTCGAGATAGTAATTATGCAATGTATGAATCGCATTATGTTAATATGACATTAAATTTTGGCAATAGTGATTTGGTTATCGATGGGAATACTGGTATACTTCCCTCTAAAAAATATCCGACCACCTGTCGATCATTGCAAATCCTAACATATTAAAATTTGAATTACGCCACAACTAATGCATATAAATAAAAAAATTTTTTTTTTCTCATGTAGGTGCAGTTAC